TTTTTTTTTTTTTTTTTTTGTTTTGTTAATTAGTCCTTTCCTTCTTCCTCTTTTCCCTCTTCATCTCTCCTTTATCCCCTTCTCCGTGTCGCTGTTTTATGGTAACATCAGCAGCAACTTATATGATGCATTACTCTCAAGTCATCATATTTTTTGCTGCACGTTTTCCTCTCCTCCTATTACTCATCTTCCATTCTTCTCATCTCTCACAGCCTCCATTGTTCTACCCCGTTTGCTGTCGCAGTAATCCAACAGCAGCAGCAGCACAATGTTCCTTGGAGCTGTTGTCGAAAGTGACGATAGAAATATGAGAATTTAGGAAATTCGTTCTCTGGGAATGTTGTATGCATGTTACGACGATCCTTTTGAAGAAGAACCGATTGTTGAAAAAATTGAAGAACCGCATAGTGAAATTAAACGTACTGGACGATTTTTTGGCGGATTTTGGGAGGATCTTCAGTTAGCTATTTCCTTCTGTTTTTTTTATTTTGTTTATTTTTTTAATCAGGAAATTGCTTTTTTGTTTAATTTTTGATTTAAACTCAAAAATTCCACAAAACGGACTAAATACATTCATTCAAAAGCAAAGAAAAAAGAATAAAAAAAGGCAAAAAATGAGTGTTTTTAAGGCATTAATGATAAGCATTTTTTAAGTTGTTCATTAAAGTTTAACCATATAAAAAAAATACACTAAAAGAAATTTTTTTTAAAGTAATGTTCTGATTATTTTTGTTTAACGCATATTAACTGTAACACTTTTGAGTAGGTAAAAAAATTGTTTTAAAATTACAAATATATTAGAAGTTTACTTGTCGATGTATTCCTTCAATTTTCTTTATTTTTCTGCTACACTTTACTAAAACGGTATTGAAGTGGTCAAGGTTTTTTTCAAGGTAGTTTATCTTTTTAAAAACTGTTCTGCAAATTTTGAGCTTTTTTTTGTCTTTTATTATACATAAATTAGCATGTTTTTTTCTTTTTTTTACTAATTTGCTGCATTTGATATTTTTAGAACTAAAGTACCGTGTTATTTGTCTGATTATACGGATTTCTTCCGTGGTCGATTGAGTCAATCATTCGCTGCAGCAATATTCTTGTTCTTTGCAAATGTTACCTCGATTATCACTTTTGGGGCTGTTATGGAAAAAGCATTACATCGACAAGTGGTAAAAGTTGGAATACAATTGTTTTTGTTATCAAAAAAGATAATCTTTACGGTAAGCATAAAGTAATTAGATGAGTTCACTATTTTGTTTACTATTTTAAGGCTGCCATCGAGAATATTTTATGCGGAGGTATTAGTGGTGTATTATTTGGTCTATTTTCTGGACAGCCGTTGAACATTCTATCCGCAACCGGGCCAACGCTGGTTTTTGAGACAATTCTCTATGACTTTTGCCTGTATCTGTTAAATTTCTGATTCTTTATATTTTTTAAATTCTCTCTTTTGTTAACAATGTAAATACTTTCTGCTTAATCATCAGTGTTTTTAATTAAATGCACATCAGATTAGTTGATTTAACTACACTAAACTTGATGAAGATTTTCTGTAGTAATTATAGGACACTAACAGAATTATATTTTACAGAAGTTGGGGTTGGGAATTTTTACCGTTTCGATTTTGGGTTGGCGTTTGGATATCTGTTGTGTTGTTGCTTCTCGTTGCAACAGATATGTCTGCATTGGTTGGTCTAATTACGAGGTAAAAAACTAAAGTTTCAAACTTACTTAAACTTCTGTTCTTTTTTTTTGCTATTTAAATAGAACTCAAATCTAACTATTTGGGATAACAGTATGTTAATTCTACTATTTACTTAAAGGTTTACTGAAGATGCGTTTGCTACGTTGATATCTGTAGTATTCATAATTCAATCATTTGAAAAGCTCTTTGAAATTGGATTGGACGCACCAATAACTACAAATCCAGAAGTGAATTAAATTTTAAATGTTATTTTTGTTTGTAATTTAGTAATTTATATTTGTTTGTTGAATAAAAATATTGTCAAATTTTTAAGGCAGTATTTCATTCGCCATGCCAATGTATAGATCAAAATTCTACAGAAGTTTTGGCAAATTATTCATTCTTATCAAATATATCCTCATCTGAAGGTAATAATACTGCATTCTGTACCATTTCTCTTCGGTTTTAGTGAGTCAAGTTTAAAATGGATAATCTCATTGTTTAGAACAATGTCTAAACGACGGAGGACTTCTAGTTGGAATGCAATGTAACTTCAAACCTGATGTTTATGTATTTTCCATTCTTCTTACCTTTGGAACATTTGCATTAACCTACGGCCTTAATATATTTAGAAAAACTGCCTATTTAAGCTCAACAGTAAGTTATACAGTTCTGACAGTTTTGCAACAGTTCAGTTTACAACCAATATGCCTATTAAAACGGAAGAAAATTCTGTTTTTATTACAGCTTCGAAATAGTATTTCTGATTTCTGTGTTTTGATTGCTATTATTGTTATGACGGGGCTTTCTCGATATGTTGGCCTGGATGTACCAGTTTTAGATATTCCTGCAAGTTTTCGGGTAAAAATTTGTTTTATATTGTGTTACTATTCAGCTGTTTTTGAAAATGGTTAAAAAAAACAATGTTTTTTGAAAATTTAGTTTGTTTTTATGTGGAATGTGTGTTTTTTTGCTAAAGTTTACAAATTATTTATGCTGTTGTTTTAATCAACTAGTTTTTGCAGCCAACAATAGATCGAAGTTGGTTTATTGATCCAACAAATATTGAAGGATGGTATGTAGCTGCAGCAGCAAGTTTACCAGCAGTATTCTATACAATTTTGATTGTTATGGATCAACAAATTACTGCTGTTATTATTAATCGAAAAGACAATAAACTTAGGGTAGGAAAATTTGGTGTGAATGTTTTTGTAGCAAAGAAAAAAAAAGTAATAATAATAACAACAGTAATAGTTATATGACTAACGTTTAAAGGTGCTCATTGGAGTACTGTATAATGGCAAAATACTTATTTATGTATTAACTTCTTAATCAATTTATTAAGACACACAGAAATAATATGACTTTTGTTAGCCGTAATTTAACTGAAAACTCTAACAAATGAATACTGATATGAATAATGAAAAAGGTTACCGCCAAGAGAATTTGCACTGTTTTAGGAAACAAAAAATTTTTTAATTTTAACGAAAATTTGGTTGATTTAGAAGAAAACAGAAAAAAGACGGATGAAAAAGCAAAGTGTAAATACGTTGATCGCTTTTTTTTTTTTTTTTAAGTTGATTCTTTAACATTCCGTCTTAATGAATTCAATTAAAAATTAAAAATTTCTAACACATTTTGCTTACAGAAGGGCTACGGTTATCATTTGGATTTGTTCGTCATTGCTGGTTTAGTGTTAATCTGCTCATCCCTTGGTTTACCGTTCTATGTTGCCGCTACAGTTCTATCTGTTATGCATGTTGATGCTTTACGGTTACAAAGTGAAACATCGGCACCTGGAGAAAAAGCACAGTTTTTGGGAGTCAAGTAAAAGCATAAATTACGTCAAATTTTTGGTTTTCTAATTAATTTAAAAAAAAAAAAACAAACAAGAGCTGTAAATAAAAAACAAAAAAAAAAAAGATCAATATAATTGATCGAATAACTTAATTGTTTTCAGAGAGCAACGTCTAACCGCAGTAATTGCACATATCCTTATCGGTCTTTCTGTTTTCCTTACACCAATTATTAAAGTAAAAAAAAAAAGAATTTTTTTTCTTACTTATACGGTTATTTATGTTTATTAATTTTACTAGGAGAAATTAAATGGAAAAAAAATTGGAGTGTTTAATCAGTAAATGCTCGAGTGATTCTTCTAAAGATTTTTTTTTTCTTTTGCACTTAATACAGTTACATTTAGTTTCTAAAAAAAGAAAATTTTCTTTTATTAGTATATTTATTAATCAATTAGCCACTAATAAATATCAGCATTAAACGGTTATTACAGCAAGGTTTTAAGTGAATTCAAAAATGTCTAATTATTGCTTTGGTTTTTTTGCTTAAATTGTTATATCAACGATTGCATAAAAATTTGATGCAATTTTTTTTTTTTTTTTGATTAGATAATGAATCTTGTTTACAGCTGGTACCACTTCCAGTCTTAATCGGAGTTTTCCTGTATATGGGTGTCGTATCGATGCTTGGATTGCAGTTTGTTCAACGAATTGCAATGCTGTTTATGCCAATTAAATATCAGGTGCTAATAATATTTTGCTCATAACTGATCAATATTTTCAAAAAAAAAAAAATTTCTTTCTTATTCTCTAAAATTCCAATTACATCTTTTTAGCCTGATTATCCATGGGTTCGAACTGTACGAATGAAACGGGTTCACCTCTTCACTTTTGTACAAATTCTCAGTATTGTTGGTTTATTCGCTGTGAAATATGCCAAGAAAATATCAATGATGTTCCCATTGATGGTGATAATTGGCCGAGTTTTTTGTTTTTGCTTTTAAACAAGTGAACACATCAAAAATAAGCATTGTTAAAATTTATTGAGCTATTTCTGAACATTTTATAAGCGAAAATTTTAGCTGGTTTTTATGGTTATTCTTCGGATGTTTTTGCTTGAAAAATTGTTCACACACCAAGAGCTTCAATCCTTGGATGATATTGTGCCAACGTTCCAATCTGTTGTCCGGCCAACAAAGAAAGCAAAACTTGGTAAAACTTTTACAGATCTTTCATCTTTATCGTTCTTCCTCTAGCTTAAAATGTTTGAAAACTATGAATGTAAAACACTATTAAATTTTCACTCTAAAAACTTAATTGGATTTTCTTTTAAAAAATATTAGAGTGAGAGAAAAAATTCTTCGCTAGACAGTCTCATTTTTTTAAACTGACGAAAACAAATCTATCGCTTAGGCAAACATTCAACGAGCATTAATGTATGAGTATTAATATAGTATAAAAAGTATTGTTGAAATCAATACTTTAAAATTAGACGCAAAAAGATTATAATCCTTCTACATTAGACGGTCATAAATTTAAAAAAAAAATTTGCTTTCAAAAAAACAGTGATAAGAAGATCTGCTTACAGAAAAAGCATTGGTTGCTGATGAGCTGCAAAAACTAACCACTGCCGAAGAAGGAAAGTCAGATAAAGTGAATGGTAAAAAGTGACCAGAAAATACACTTTTTTAGTATGGTAATTCACAGACCAAGTGCCACTGTTTTTATAATGTTTTGTTCAATAAAAGTCTTGCTTTTTTTTAACTTATCTCAAATTTCTTTCTGATGGTTACTTAGTCTTCGTTTTTTTTTTCTTTTGATGGTACTGTTTTTATATGCACATTAATCCGTCATAATCTCATATAGAGAAAAAAAAACATATCAGAATAAGTCTATTATTACTGTATAATTATAATTATAATTATTATTGTAACCATTATTATTGTTATTATTATTATTATTGTTATTATTATTATTAATGTTAATACCAATATTAATATTGTTATTATTATTAATAGTATTATTACTGTGTTATCATTATCACTGTTATTACCATAGCGTCTTATGAGTCGATTTCAAATGTGTTTCACGATGATTCCAGTTGCCTTACAGATTTCTAATAAATGAGAAAAATAAATTTTTATTGACCTGTTTCTTCAGTAATGCAGTCGCAGAGGTCATTCTCAAACATATTCATTTTGATGGTCGTGAATACAATATGCAGTGTGCCAGAAACTACAGCTTTTTTTCAGCTCATCCGATACAAAGTTTCACAACTCCCTGAAACCTTCATTTTTCATACAGTTTTGTGACCCCGATAAAACTATATTTGATACACCACACATATTCAGTGGAAGAAGGTCATGGAATTCACTACAGCACAATCGCAGGTACAGAAGTGAGACAGAAATGTTATTGTGAAACCTTTATTTAGAATCTGATATCTGATCTCCTCAGTCCGACTGCTATTATTCTGCAAATATCGTTATAACCTTTAAAGTGATGATATCATAAAGTCATTCACCAAGCGACAAAAAAATTAAATAGATCTCGATCTTCTAATAGGCTTAGCAATCAGGTGGCAACATTCAGTGACCAGGTTACATTGATCTGAACAATGACAGTATGACCACCATTTACAGCATAATTTTAAAAACTTTTATCAATCTCAAAAAGCAATTAGGACTTACACACAGTATAATTTGTCTGTCTTGTTATCTGATGATTAAGTAACAACTAAATGTTTCAAAATTGAGAACACTGTAATTATTCTTACATACTTATATACGATGCTCTTTGTAGTTTTTTTTGCCAATAAAAAGAAGCACGTTACAACAGCTTATGCAGTTAACGCTTGTTAGTCGGTGCGTGTAGGGTATAACTGATCTTGGATTTATCTATTTGTAAGTCCCTTTAGCAAATACGCTGCTGAATGACGTATTATTAGAAAAAACAAGCATTATGAGCTGACAACTGTAGCATAATACCATCAGCGATTTACAAAAAATTATGTATCCTAAACCAGTAGTTCTTTTTACAGGAACAGATACTGACGCACTACAGGAAATACCAATTTGCCTCAGCAACTTCGATTTAGATCAAAAAAGCTATCCCAAAAGAATACAGTTAGAAAGCAAAAAAACGACATTATGGTCTTTGCTCTAATTCAAAAGTTATATTCTTAGAACACGCTGTCAATTCTGCTTAACTGTGTTTTCTATTAAAGCAATATGGTTTTTCATAGAAAGCATTTAGTTAAGGTTGATGTAATTGATCTTCTTATCTGATACTGTACTAGAAAGACACAGAACCAATCTAGACTTTAATTAGTGTGGTATGATATAAAAAATTTTTAAGAATGTAGTATTCCAAAAGAACGTTAGAGAACTGTATGCGAAGGTAAAGACAGGAAGTGGGAATGTATTATTCTGTAATTAACTAACTGCACCCTAATTTTAATTCAAAATTTCAGCAAGACGAGATTTAAAGGTCAAGAGTGTCGTGTTTGCCGTTTCTATCATATTGTCATTTCCAACTGCTGTAAATTAAATATGTAAAAGTAAAGTTGTCCTGCATCACTGATGTACCGATCCCAGTAATTTGTCTAAAAAAGACGATTTCGTGCTGGTGCAAAAGAATTTACTAAAAAACTGCATACATTACAATCAGAATTGTTTGTAGTGCAATCAAATAAACATAGTCAACTATACTAGTCATTCAATAAGTGCAAACAGAAAGCAACATTAAACTGTAATTAGAACAGCAAAACTCTGCTCTCGAGAATCATGTCATTTCTTGCAAAGAAGTTTTATCCTTTTTTAAAGAAATTTATTAAATTATTACTAGGTCGTTGGTAGCAACACAATAGTGTTAACGACTTAGGTTCCGATGCAAAAGTGGTTCTAAGATAAGTCATAACTTTTGAAATTTGACATATTAGGTATACAAGTAGTTACGCTCGAAAATATCAAATTATTTAAGGCTATCTAGACCTGATAGAGACTAAATATTTATGGTTCAAGAACCGAAAAAATAACTTTTTTGTGCCTTCTTCCGATATCCGATACAGTAAAAACATGTAAATTTTACATAGACTGTATCAATTCTGGAAAGCTATTTTTTTACTTTCCCGTTTTTCTTTCTTATTTCCTATTTATTTATTTTTTGAATAATTCTCAGATGTTTCAAAGAGCCTCAGTAAATTAATTTTTTATTGCGTTTATACTGTTGTATTTTGCTTCTCTCCTATCACATCACTGCCTGCTTATATTTACAAACAAAGTTATTATTTTCATAGTTCATAGAAGAAACGCTTTGCTGAAAAGAAGAAACAAATTTGTACGTAATTTTTTTGCAAAACTTCCGCCTCCCGCCTTATAGTTACAAGCCTTGCTGATTCTGGAAATGTTTGAGAGGAACCATTGAAAGGTTCGTAAAAGGTAAAATTAGTTTTGAATTTAAAGTCGCTACCGCCTAAACGATGATAACAAAGAAACCACTTTTCGATGAGGAAACAACCTGTTGAAGAAAAGAACCAAGAAGAAGCTTGAAAACATCTGGACAAACGCAAACTAAAAAATTTAAGCTTTATCTCTTTATTGATGAATAACTTCTTCTCATAAAGAACTATCTGGTATTTTTAAGGTGAAAAGTCGTATATTTAAGCTACTTTTTCAAGAAAAATTGCTAAACTAATTTTTTCAATAAGTTCTGAACATCAGTTCAACATTAATTTTAATAAAACAACTATCTGGTAAATAGAAAGTTAAGAGCAATGTACTTTAAGAGAGTTCATAGGTTTGTTAAAATATTTTGTTAAAAGCCGTAGCAGATAACGTATTATCGTATGAGTCGATTACAGATATTAATCCAGATTTCTTTGAAATGATGTCAAATATTTCGCTTCAAGTATGACGTAAAAAAAAAGTCAAAAAAAAGCTTCACTATACAGTTACTCATCTCTCTTATATCTATCTATTCAAATGTGAGTAAACGTTGAATAGCAAGTGCTAAAATAAAAAATTACTTTTCAGCTTCGACATTTATTATTCCGTATGCTGTTAAACTATACGATTGCTTCCTAACAGCGTTTACAAAGTAAAAGAAATCATATTAGTTCAGAATGCCCCCTCTTACCTTCAAGAGAAAAAAGTACTCATTCTGCCGTGTATATAAACAGTAGAAGCTAGACTGAACTAGCAGACCTTGAAGTCCTCCATCCTCTAAATTCTAAATTTCTTGAATTATGTATCAAGCTATAACAGGACAATTCCTGAATGTAGCTCAAAAATTTTTTTTATTCGTAATTGGATTTTACTGTCCGAAGGTGAAACAATGAAAGTGAAATATAAGGTTTCACAAGTGATTTTATGGTGGTCTCACTATCTGTCTTTCTTTTTTTTTTGACAGTTTTTTTCTTATCATTCCATTCCAAAATTGCGTTTCAGAATTGAGAGCTACCTTGCATAAGCTCCAGGAGCAAATTACTGTAGAAAAAAAGAAAAACTTTTTATCAGCTCCTTCACCGACCTCGTGACCCTCCCTCATCCTCCTCCTCGTCTATCTAAAGTCCTGTCTTTCTTCTCACCCACCAAAAAAAAGGTGTATTAACAAAAAATCGACAAAGATTAAAGACTGAGTCAATTTGCAATTGCAATTCTTGCGCTAAACCGTTGATATGATGAATTTTAAGACCGTTGCATTCGCAACTGTCAAACGCTGATACAACTCAAAAAGCTCTGTCTTTTAATGTTCTTTTCACTGCGTCATATTCCTCAATCATCCAGAAAGGAAAAGCGATATAAGAAGTAGACTTGGAATATGCAAATTAATGGTAACAAAGCAAATTTCTTAGGAGCTAATTTACGCGGACTAGACAACAAAAACAAAAAGCAGAAGTAACTACAGAAACCATTTTTACATAAAATCACAGAAGGCACCATGCACATTAATCAAATACATGGCAACAGCAAAACCCCCTTCTTAGCGCGCATGAGAGTCTCTTGGTAACGACAGTAATTGTCTGTTAGAACTAAGGAACCATTTATGTTTAGAATTTTTAGAATTGGAATTTTTAAATCATACCATCAACAGTTCCGTACTTCAGAACTGTTTTTGGAAGAGAGAAGCTAAAAAGATTTTGGAAGTTATAGCTTCATTTATCCAGTGGTACCGTTAGTAATGATTAAAAGTAATTAATCTTTAAAATATAACATAATCAGTGGATTCAACTTGGCTAAAACAATGATAGATGACGAGAAAAAAGATTGATAAAACAACTTTTCTGGAATTTTGCCAACAAAAAAACTCATAATGCATAAAAAATATTTGGAGATTCAAGTGAATTGTTTAATCTAACAATATTGATTCCAAGAATTTTCATCCAAATCTAATATTCTGTGTAATATTTATGGAATATGCTATCTTTGATTTCTAACTGCAGTTAAAACGCTGTAGATCTTGACGGTGAAACGAAAAGAAGAAGGGAAAAAAACATGGTAAAAAATCGTTGTGAACTGTCACTGAAAACAGTTTTCCAGCTGCTGCTTCCATCCAAATTAAATGTGTACAGAGAAGTGCTGTTCCGCATAGTTTCCTGAACTTTTTGAAGTGATACTGAAAAACTGGTTTCTATCACATGTTAATGTTGTTGCAGTAACCTCGGTTGAAACGAAGGAAAAAAAAAGACGACTAGTT